AAACGACATTACCGTTTGGGCCTGGCAGCGCTCTTGAGGCTGCCGCCCGCCGGTTGGGGCTGAACCGTCCATCTTGACGGTTCAGGGCACGGCCAGGCCTCGCAACATTGAGGCCGGCCTCTGCCCCACCGGTACAAAAGTACCGGTCCAGCCTCAGTGAGGCTATCGACCTACCGGCATTCTACCGGTACGGTATGGTACAGCGCGATACAGCGCTGGCACGAAGTTTAGCGCAGGAGCAGCGAGGAGCAGCAGCGCAGCATTAGCGCAGCAGCAGCAGCAGCGACTGGGTGTACCGGCGGCCATCGCCGCCTGACGTATCGGGAGTTGGAGGCCTCTCTCCTCCCTCCCCTCCTCGGCTCCTTTCTTCTTCTCCTTCTTCTTCTTCTTCTTCAGATTGGAGACATATACTAGTTGGACAGAGATCAGTGTTGGACTTTGGTGGTATGAGACTGTGGTACTTACCAGATTGGAGACTTGGAGGTTGTTGGGGTTGATACTTGGCGGCATCACAGTTCGGACACCGGTTACATTTGAACTCTGTATCTCCGACATTGGTGACTGATTGTCCTCGACATTTTGATCTTGTTGGATGACATTTTGGACTGCCATATCGGTGACCTATCGGATTCTATTTCGGTGACCTACCGGTGCTGTCTACCTCCCCCACCTCCTTCGTCTCTCCTCCCACCTTTCATCTGTGTATGTGTGTACGGGATCTGGGCATCGTCCATGCTTGGCCCAGACCCCACCATCTCACGATTGTATGTGTGTGGAGTGATTCTTGAGTCAGTCTATGTGAGTCAGTCCGTTTATCAGACTTCCGCTGCATATATGTTCATCCTACATTGGTTGATCTTTGGTTCTGCCCATACTCATTGAAGAATGTAAGTGTGTGTGTGTGTGTGTGTGTGTGTGTGTGTGTGTGTGTGTGTGTGTGTGTGTGTGTGTGTGTGTCAAAGAAGAGAAGAGAGGAGAGATGGAGGTGGAGGGTGAGGATAGCAGGGAGACGAAGATGCCACCTCCTCTCTGTCTCACCTGCAGGTAACTGCCGCCATGTGCAATCAGACTCACTTTCTTCTCCACTTCGCACTCATGCAAACAGATGGCGAATCACACTGGCGCACAGCGCCTACTCAAAGCTCAAGCTCGCTTCAACAGGCTATGGCGCATCAGCACCTGTACCACCCAACTCTCGTCACTCGGTCCAACACCACTGTTCGCACTCACTCACTCTGGATCACCCTGGATACCCCACACGCGCACACACACTACTACTAACACACTCGTCTATCCACTATGGCGGCTATGGCCGCTGTCCCTCACTAGCTATGGCTAACTATCCCTTCAGCCAACTTCGTCTTCGGGCACTCTGGAGACCACCTCGCACAAGTCGCTCAAGCAATGAATGAATGGCTGGGCGCTGCCTCTTGATTTATACTTCTGTAACTCGTTGGTCTGCCCCTTTCCCATGCCCTGGGTGCACACAGTCCCACACGGTACTTGCTTGACTGCACTGTGACTGACTGGGACCGGTACCGCTGACTGCATGGGTTTGCACTGCCAACTCGATGCAGTCGCACTGCCGACGTAACACAGTTGGGCTCACCACTTGCCCACTTGCCTCTGTCCAAACGTGAGACAACTTCGAAAGGCCACTTCCGGACCTTCTGGAAGTCTGTGGGCTTGGCCTTTCGAACACTGTAGCAGCTACGACCTTGACCTCTCAGGACTGTAGCAGCTATGGACTTGACCCTTCAGAAGAGTTATAGCTACGACTTCTAGAACTCATTAAGACCTCTTAGTGCTGGGCCTCGCTGGTGTGCCCCTGGCCCTGGCCTGATACGGCCTACTCTGTCTGCGTCCCTACCGGACGTCCAGACCTTCCTGCTGAAGGAGCAGGGAACATCCTGCTAGCGGACGAAAGCGAACCTGGCCTCCAAGGGCCCAGTCGTGAAGGAGGCCCAGAATTTGGCCTCGGTCCGAACAGACTAAAAGTCTGTTCGGACATCACAAGTCCAGAACGTTGCCCTGCAACAGACAAACAACAACAAATAAATAAAATAAAGAAATAAATGCTGGCCACAGCACTCCAAGTCGCGTACCTGGAATGGGCAGGCAGCCTGGAGGCCTCAGCAACCATCGGGCCTCCAAAACGGGGCCCGTGTGCAGGCTAAGCATGTAACACGGACCTTGGATACCCACCACCGAACCGCAAGCTGTATGCATACAGCTATGCTGCACCTTGCATGTCAGTGATCATGTTCACACCATCATGAGCACCTAGATGAGCTAACCGACAACGTCAGGATAACAAGATATGTCACACAAGCGGTTCGACTCAGTTGCTACGCGCTGTCAGGAATAAACTTCTCAGTACACTTAATAAATTTCTCCACCCTGTGTTTCAGATAATAAATTCATAAACTATCTTGCAATACATCCAAAAACTGCATTCACTTCTTCAAAAGTTCAAATACTATACCATGAAATGGATGTTCTGCATCTGTTCAGCTTTATCCAGATATCTACAAACCACACACTTGCAACTACACAGTGCGGACCGAAATGTGCTGCGCAGCTACTGCCCAGCAACAATTTCTTTTTTGTTCCTTTTTTTGATGCTTTCATAGACATACAAGAGTGTACGAGCTCATGAACAGATCCTGTTCAAGTACAGTCGTACAAATTTTCCTTTCTAGAAATTTTTGTCCCACTGGGCACGAGGAAAAAGCCTCAAATAGGCCTTTCGGACATCAATCTTAACCGCTAGGTAGCAAGATCATCTTAGAACTAACCAACCCCAGGTAAATTCTGAGTCAATTTACTCGTCTGATTGCATCTGGATTCGGAGTTAGGGCGGTGCCATAACCGTTTCTGGATGATAAGCATGTGAGAGGGGGCCGGGGGGCGGGTGGGGGGGGGGGGGGGGGGGGGGGGGTTGAAACAAGAATAGTGATGAGCAGGCCGCCGTCCATTCCAAGTACTTGCCTTTTGTCCATTAGTTGTCACACAGTAGACCGGTACAAGAGCCGCATCAAGGATTTCAATGGTGGTACCATTCGTAAAGATGCTTTGACGTTTCAATTTTTATGCTTAACACAAAAAAAGGATTTGAAGGAATGCTGGTTCAAAACCCCGGTTGTAATCCTGCGAGTTTGCCCACAACTTCATGACAATGAAGACACTGTTTATACTCCTGCAGCTAATGCTCAGATATTTGTCACTGTGTGCTGGTACCATTCGTAAAGATGCTCTAACGTTTCAATTTTTAGGCTCGACACAAAAAAAAAGGATCGGGAGGAATGCTGGTTCAACCCTGGTTGTAATCCTGCGAGTTTGCCCACAACTTCATGACAATGAAGACACTGTGTATACTCCTGCAGCTAGTGCTCAGATACTTGTCAGTGTGGAACACTATACTTCTGCAGCTACAGCTCAGATATCGATGATTACGAGATGACTTCCATTCTTTTTACTATTATTGTGTGTGACTGGTCGTGTTACCTCAAGGTACTCCGTAAGGAACTTGGCTTTCAAATACAGTGCTATCATTGGAACCAACTCCGTGATGGTCCGGCGAATGAGAGGATCCTTGTGATGCTTGAATCGGAGGACAATGTTAGCCACAACTTGATACCTTGCCATCATAAATTCTCCTGCACCCCTGTGGTCATATGCAAACACAACAGAAAGAAGCTCAACACAGCTGCCGAGGAAACAGCAAGAGCAACTGGAAGTGATTGTTTTCCTGCCCATGTACCAGAAGCAGTCACAGTGCATCCAACGATTACTGTTAAACCGCCAGTACACGTCCCCAGCACTGCAGAAAATCGCAAGTTGCCAACTCCCAACACTTCGGCGCTCGGTGCTACAGGAGCGCAATGGCTGGCACTGTGCTAGCCAAAAGAGAAGAGAAGTGTGCCGCTGGCAGTTCGGAAAAGCTTGGAGCGCAGTGTAGCTCCTCCAGGCCCGAGTGTCCTGGTGGTTTAAGGGAATTCTCTAACAGGCTGAAAAGTTGCAGAAGTAACAGAACCAATCAGAACAACTAAAGGGTTGCAACTTGCAACGAAGGGAATCAAGTTTGAAACATCAGCGTCACGCTCAAAAGTCCCACACTGAAGAAGTTTCCTTGGCCCGCCTCTTCTGAGAAAGTGCAAAAACGTTCAACAAACAAAATGACTTTTGCACTTTACTAGTCAATACCACAAGAACAGCTCTGCAATGTGCACATCTGTTTCCTTGGCCCGCCTCTTCTGAGAAAGTGCAAAAACGTTCAACAAACAAAATGACTTTTGCACTTTACAAGTCAATAGCACAAGAACAGCTCTGCAATGTGCACATCTGGTAGGAGGATGTACGCAGCCCTTTTAGGCATACGCTAGATTTTAATCGGCTTCGACACATTTAACACAAACTCGATTGCCTGCTCTTCTTGCACTTGATTGGAAACTCCACAGCAACCCGAATTTGATTATACACACCGAAATGCTTGATGAGAGTCATGAGACCAAGAAAAACTTATATGAAACTGGGTGCATTGTGGCGCTCCACCGTGCACCCCAACTCAAGTTATTGTGCTAACGATAACACAGTTTCGCTTAGTCCGCTGCCTCAACTTTACAAACGAAATTTACAAAAGCGCAAATTGCCGTCCAGCTTGCTAAGGCTGCATTTCCAACAGCCCACTGGGTCTGCTGAAGAAAAGCTTATTCCCAGGTACAGTCACCTGAGAGTATTCAGAGGTCCTAGGTCCAAATCTCACAGGCTGAGGCAGCAATACAGCAAAACAGACAACAGCCGAACTTACATCGTTTTGGGCCAGGTTTAAATTGCCTGCCTGAACCCAACACTCTGTCTGCCTCAGTTCAAAGTCCTCTGAGAACATGTGTACTATGAACTGAAAACATTGTACCACGTCTCAGAAAGCACACTTTGTAAGACAGACTGAACGAGTTAGCAAGCCAGTTCTATTGAGACTACTGTGTTGAGATCAAATCCAAGACGACTTTACCATATGCATATATATTATATATTGTAACATATTTATGAACTAAAAGAGCACACGTTGTAAGACAAATGAAGAATAAAGCAGACAAAGGTACAAATAAGAGGAAGAGGCAAGGACAGGAAGACAGAAGGGTGAAAGACGGGGCGTGAGGAAGGTAAGGAGGGAGGCAACGAGTGAGTAAGAAATAGAGGGAAGGACCCACAGACAGACGGGGAAGGGACGGAAGGAACAGAGGGGGGGGGGGGGGGGGGGGGGGGGGGGGGGGGGGGGGGGGGGGGGGGGGGGGGGGGGGTAAGGGTATATAAGGCGGGAATTGCGAGCGGGGGAGGAGAGGACACAGGGTGCAGCACATCCAGCGGGCAGCTCATTTATATGGTGACGATGCTTAACAAAACAAGGAATTGACAGATCAAGGGTTTACAGTTACATACTGCAATAGCTCCCGAATTGCAATCAACGAGCCATGAATACTCTCAGGGCTTGCCTGTTTCCGCATCCCAAAGTCTGTTCGCTCAAACAGACGGAAGTATCTACACAGCGCCAAACAGAGAGGGGCAGAAGAGCAAACAACCAACACCATAGAGGGCACCAACCCATAAGATCAACAGGCTAATTAAAGTCATCGAAGATATCTGGACTGTTTCAACATCCCAACAACGCAGCTGCTATATTTCATGTTCAGTTATGATGCAAAACATTATTTTTTTTCCAAATGACACGAAGATGTGACAAACTAGAAGATAGATAGGAAGCAAAGCATGTAGAGACTCAACCCCCTCCCCCCCCAAATCACTTACCCTTTGCAAAACCACCTTCACCTTGTCCGTAACGTCCTCCTCTACAGCGCATCACACAAGAGTAAAGAAAGAGCAAAGAAACAGCTGTCCAAGTGATCTCCCTAGCAGTTGCGCTTGCGAATATACTCCCTTCAGCTCCACTCGCCCAAACTCCCCCCTTCGTAGGATTACTGTATCTGGCGTTGCATCAGCATCTCCCAAGCAGGGTGTACAGAATACAACACCAGAGGGCTTCCCCCTCTCTCCTCTACAACATCAGCACCATAACCCCACGTAAAATACCCAATTCAGGAGATCCCTCAATGTGACTTCTTGATGTAATGCCACAAATAAAACCGAAAAGACCAACAGCCATTATCTAAAAGTGATTGAAAATGTTTATTGTTTCAACATCACAAGGACACACATGTAACGTTCCAAGTTCAGTAATGATGGAAAACTCAAGATCTGTGTGAAGGACACAAATTTGCGATAATTGGGAACAATAAAAAGAGCCAAAGAACGAGTAGACTCAACCCCACAACCACCTCCCCTTTGTAACACCACCTTCTCCCTCACCTGGCCTCCTCTGAATTGCATCAAATAAGGGAACAAAGAATGAGCAATGAAAGAGCTCACCTAGTGATCTCCGTAGCAGTGGAACTCCCTTCAGCTCTACTGTGAAATACTCAGTTCCACACAGGCCCCGCAGGTCCCGCCTAGGTGGGACTAGGGGTTGGTTAGGGGGTTATGGGGTCTGTTTAGGACCAGTGTCTTTTCGGCCCATTTCAGGGTCTGTAGGGTTCATAGGTTCCTATAGGCCTGTTACCGATCCAGTCCAGGACCGGCCTCATTTAGGAGGACCAGTTAGACCACTGCAGGTCTAGCGCCAGGCCCCCTGTTTTCATTTGGGGCACCATTCAGTTTTGGCACCAATAGTTCAAGAGGCCGGCCGAGATTTGCATTGGGCAGCGCCAGTTTAGGCGCCAAAGATGAGGCCGGACTTTGGGACCAGCACTACACATAGCTGGTCTTCCCATCAGTCCGGTAGGCATTCTTCAGGCATTCGTGGAGGTACTCAGTAGCGATAGCTGTAGTAGACGATAGGATAGCGGTAGTCTTCCAGCGTTGGGCGACATTGAATACTGCGTTGGCGTGGCCTGAGGGCTTGAACATTGGCTCACGAATTCATTGTATTGCTCTTATTTGGATGGAATCTTGGTGCATTTGAGCTCTCCGCTTGTTACATGACTATCTGGACTTCTGCGTGATTGATTGATGGATTGATTAATAATTTTTTTATTGATTAATTCAAATTCGTATTAAGGCAAGCATCGAACTTCAGGAAATTCCGTGAATTTCAGAATTCTACGAGTTTCCGAATTCCAAGATTTCCGTAAACTTCGCGAAAGTCCACAAAATTTGGAATTCCGCGAATGCCGAACATTTGCAAAATCTGCGATTTCAATTAGGGCCAGGGTCACCAGCCCGTACGTACAGGGGTCCCCAGGCGTTAGGGTTCCCATTCCGGGTCCGAACCCGAAGGCGTCCGGCCCCCGCCAGAACTTATTTTGGGGCCTAAAAATAAGTTAAACCAGCGTTATTAGTTGCTTTTATTATATACGTTTTGTGAAAGTCATGTATTTTGAAACACCTAAAACAGGAATTAGCACAGCCAGGAAATCAAATTCTTTTTTCCTGATTTTTTTTTTGTGAGTTCTCTACGATGTGAAGTACATGCTTGTAAATATTTAAGTCATTTTGCTCTGCCCCAAAAAAAAAAAAAAAAAAAAAATCGCCGAAGATGGCAGTGTCAAAACGTGCTCGCCCACTCACAATTTTGTTTTTTTACACTTTTCACTTTTTGTTTTCACTTTACTGCAGGGACTAACACAATTTTATTATTTTTTGAAACTTTTTTAACGAGTTTTGTCTTATGTGAAGTGCACATCTGTAAATTCCATACATGCGGCGCATCGCGATGTGCTGCACCGCGCACATGCGCCGCACCGTGATGCGTGCGCACTGCATGCAGCGCACCTCTAAAAACGGGGGTCGAAAAAAAAAAAAGAAAAGTTGTGAGGGCCGGTAGTAGACCCGGCCCCCTGCTCGCGTAAAATAAGAAACGGGCAGCCAAATTATTTTTGGAGGCCGCGCTTCGGCCTGAAAGCTTTTAGTAAAACCTGTTGTCCGTGTAACAGTGTGTGCATGGTAGGATTCTTGCAGTCCGTATGGTAGGTTTCTTGCAGGCCAGATTCAGTCATGATGAGAGTCGCGATCTCTAAAAACGTTCGCTTCTTATTACTTCTGAAGAAGAAAACGACGGAACTGACAGCCGTTTTTCCTGGAGTTTTTTGCTAATAATAAAAAGAAAAGAACGTATAAGAAGAAAATCAGAATGACTTACCTGTCGCCCGAATCACGCAGAAGAGGCACCAACTGTGAGAAAAGAGAATGAATCTTCAGCTAGAACATGGAAAGATACATCGCCCTCGGTCTTCTCTTTTGATCATGTGGTAAGTGGTGGACCGAAGCCCCTCGCGTCCAACCTGTCAGAACCTCAACGGGACTATTCACCAACGGCCTCGCTGCGCTACTCTCGACATGCACACAAGACAGATATGGCAATGTATCTTTCCATGTTCAAGCGGAGGATTCAATCTCATTTGTCCAGAGATTCTCCAAAAAAAAAAAAAAAAGAAAGGTTCCAGAGATACGTTATGTGCTTACCTGAGGCCTGACACTAGCACTTCCAGAAATGTATCTGATGGCACTTACGGCCAGACTTAGACGAATCTGACCGCAATGCACTCGGATTTTTTCTACTAAGCTCTGGACGTGATTGCAGTCAGATTCGTCCAAGTCTCCGATGGCATACCTTCTACATCAGCACGCGCCGCCAAAACCATCCGTCGTGGACGCGTGCTGAGGTCGAACGGATCTCTCTCTCACTCTCACTCTCTCTCTCTCTCTCTCTCTCTCTCTCTCTCTCTCTCTCTCTCACACACACACACACACACACCCCAAAAACAAAAAAAAGAAAAGGAAAACAGCACAGCACACAGCGCGCACCCCTGCCCAGCGGCGCATTTTGACGAGCATCCCGCACAGCGCAACCGGTGCGCACACCCGCGCACATGCGCATGCGGTGTGGGTGAGCGCATCCCGCACGGCGCACCGCACCGGTGCGCCGCAAGTATGGTGAATTTTCAGGGCATTTGGCAGTGCCGGAACAAAATAAAAAATCGCCAAAGATGATGGTGTCGAAAAAGCTCACTCACTAGTTTGAATTCCCTTTTCATTTTTTCTTATTTTTATTATTAGTCTAGGCTACCATAGTGGCCCGGGGTCACTTGCCCGGCAGGGCCAAAAACATCAAAAAAAAAAAAAGAATTATTTTTAAATTTTGTTTTTTTAACTTTTTATTTTGAATTTGTTTAAGAATTTCGATGTGACACTGAGGCAGACGTTGGTCAGTTTATTTTTCTGCACAACATAGATTTTTTGTAGATTTTTTTTTTTTTTTTTTTTTTTTTTTTTTCGGGCCTTCCCTTTTCCCCTTGCGGGGGCCGGCAACCTGGGCCCCGGGCGGCCCGGCTGGTAGCCTAGTTATTAGTTTTTTTTTT